GGGGCTCATTTTTCCGGCCAATCACTTTTAGAGAAATGAGCGCATTGCAGCAGAATGCGCTGACGTCAGAGACCACCCCTTCTGCGCCTCCATATAAACCCCACCCAGCCAGCCCCTAGCGCAGACGGCGGAGAGCAGAGAGGGAGCGCGCCTTGGCTTGCTGGCCTTGGCTGCGGCTCCTCGGGAGAGCTGGGGCGCCCACGAGAGGATCCCTCACCTGGTGAGTGGTTGGCCATCCTTGCCGCAAAGGATGTGCCAAAGGAAGACGGCATCCCCTTCTGGGATGGGCTCTGTCCTCCTGGACACGCCGAGAGCCTGATCCCAGGTCCTACTGCTGGAGGCGGCCACTCCGCCTGGTCCCCGAGTGTCCGCAACAAAATTTTCAGAAGGAAAATCTTGAGGCACATTTCCCTGGGGGAAGTCAGGGCTCCTCTCTGGGGGGTCTAGTCCTTGAGGGTGGGCTGGGTGGCAGGGACTTCAGAGGAGCGGGAGGAATCAGACGGAACCCCTCTTGGATTCGGGTGTGTGGCAGTCACTGGGGGGCGAACCCCGGATTTCCTGTATTGGAAGCCGCCTCAAGAATCGCGTTAATAGTGGGAGATATGGCGGCGATGCCTTCTGCATGCCCCATGAATTAGGGGGGGAAGCACCCGAATAGAAGGGTCTCCCGGGCATATTTGCCTTGCCAGCTGTTGGCCAGGTTTTTGGTGGATCGTGGGCGGGAGGAGTGGAGGTTCCTCTTCACGAGGTTTTCCGAATCCAAATACACAGGTTTAGTGCAGTGTGGACCCCAGGCAAAATGTAGAGTAAAATTTCCACCCGATATCATCTGGTTCTGTCCTGATCAGCCACTTTCACAGTGGAGAGAGATGGCGCCCAAGTGCAAACCTGCCAGTAGCCCCCTAGGATCAGTCCCTGCGGAAGGGGGTCGTGGGATTGAGGACAGAGGCAGAATAGATGCAGGGGGTGGGTTGGGGCAGAGAGACGGCCGTATCCTTGGGTCTGGGAAGAGGGAAGAGAGAAATGCAGAAAAGAGGTGTGTTGCTGGGGTCTGGATGCTGGGAGCTGGGGATGGGGGGCCGCGGGGGTCTTCAGAGCGTTGCATGGTGGTCACTCGAAAATCCTGACATGTTGCAGGCTTGGACTTTTGGTCAAGTTGCCTTTTACCATTTCCTTTGTCCGAGTCAAGCCCCCCCAGGCCGCCCCCTCCCACCCTGGGCCGGCGGGCCTGGTGGGGGCGCAGGCGGGTGGCTACGTGGCAGGTTTCTGGAAGGTTTCCTGGCTGGCCGCGAGAGGGCGCTGGCGGCACTGCGGAATTTTGGGGGGCGGGGTGGGGAGGGGAGGTGGCCTTTGTTCTCCTGATGGAGGGGGTCGGGCGCGGGATCCACTGGAGGATCCTGGATTCATTTACCCAAGAGGGAACAGTTTCGAGACCCCCGGATTCACTGCGGAGCGGCCGCAGAGGCTGAGGTCGGCCTTGGCGCCGTGGCTTCTGGTGTCGTGGAGGCGCACAGAGGCACGTTAGTTGATTTCCAGTGGTTTTTTATTTCGGGGGTCTTAGGAAAGTGTGGCTTATTTGAGCAGGATGGAGAGAGAGGCAGTGACAAGGTCAGTGAGGCGCCATCAGCGGGGTCTGGAAATTGTTGCTGTGGCGAAGGAGGGAGGCACGACTTTTAGGGGCGCGATGTCGACGCCTGGGGGCGAAGGCGGGGAGCGGCAGGGTGGCCCCCTTTGCGTTACTTTCCAGCGATGTCACAGGTTCTGTCTCTCGTTCCGAGACCACCCACATGCGTGACAGCGGTGTCTGGAGGACTGGGTCTTTCTGACTTTAGTGAACGTGTGTTTAATTAATTGGATTGCCGAAGGTGGGAGTTGGGATTTCTGCGTTTCCCTGTAGCAGGCGGAGCGGCGCTCCAGAGGGGCCTGGCGCGGGTCTGCCGCGTAGCCCACGTTCCTCCGGGGCTGGGGCCGGGTGACTGGGGGCTCAGGAGGCTCCTGGTGCGGGCAGGAGGCGCTGCGCCGCGGCCACAGGTGGGCTCTGGCTGGTGGTGACTGGAGAGGTGTCGAGGGGGCGTAGCGACCTGGCGCGGTGGCCTGGGGTGGTCTGTGGAGCCTTTCCTAGCCTGAGACCTGCTGGGCACCCCCTGTCCATCCAGGCCCGCCGGCGCGGGCGGGGGCGCCGCAGGTGGCTGCGCTCCTGGGTTACGGGTGCGGGCCGCGCGCCCCCTAGCGGTGTGTGCCTGCCACGCTAACTTGGGTTTTGAGTTGCGCACGCGCACACAGCTAACACTTGTGACTTGTCAATCAAATCATCCTTACCCCCTCCCACTCCTCTCCTCCACCTCCCATTTCTCCTCTACCTCCACCCTTTCTCATTTCCTCATCCCTCCTCCCCCTCCTATTTTTCTTCTCCCTCCTCCCTCTTTCATCGTTCCTCTTCCCTCCTCCCCCTTCCCCCCTCATTTTCCTTATCTCTCTTTTCCCCTCCCCTTCCCTCCTCCCCTTCCCTGACCCCCCTGCTTCCTCCCTCCATACCCCTCCCTCTTCCCTCCCAGCCCCTCCATAAGCCTTCCTCACTCCTCCCCTTTGCCACTCCTCCCTGCCTTTCCCTCCGCCTGCCCCCTTTGGCTCTCTGCTGTTCCGGTGCTGGCCATTAGAGGTCACGAAGATGGTTTCTAACCTGCCGCCCTCCCATGCCATAGGGTCTCTCCTCAGGGATGACATCATACGTCCACCTCCTTATCTTCAAGGACCACCTCCTCTTCATGCCGAGCTGCTACCAAGGGGCCTGCTGCCCATCTACGCCTTACGGTACCTCAACCCTCCTGCTATCGTTTCATATTCAACATGCCAGGTAGAATCTCCCAACCCCACCACTGTCCTTGCACCACCCCCAGACCCACTAGCAATTAAAAGACAATTTTAAATTTTTAACTAATCAGCTTTAATTGTAATTAATTAACTTAAACTGTAATTATGATCTAGGCTTGGGCTTTTAAGCAGGTTCTCTAACCTTTGATCAATTGCAGAGGGCACTAGGAGCACGGATTCCTGGATCCCACCAGCATACAAAGCAGCCACTGACTGACGCCCAGGACCAGGATGGCAAAGGATGAAGAGGACCGGAACTGACCAGCCAGCTGTCCCTCTTGCCTAAAGACTTAAACCAATGCCCTAGTGAGGGGGCATTGGGCATTAAGCCTTGACCTTTGCTATGCTCGTGCTGTGACTCTATGAGTACTTTCCTATAAGTCTTTGTGTTCACCTGCTAGCAAACTGGAGTGTTTCCCTCCCCAAGGGGGTGTCAGTCTTTGTTGACTGACTCTGTCATCACCCTTACAATGTCTTGAATGGAAGGATCCCTTTGGGAACTTCTCAGGAGGGGGACCTGGGCCAAGGGCTTGACCAGCATCCTGCTGGCAACTCCAAGGCCCTGGGTGGGCTTCTGGAATGAGCATGCTACTGAATCACCAAAGGCATGTCCCACCTCTCTGGAGATCTTTCTGTCCTTTTCTGGGGAATGGGGTCGATGGGAGCAACCTCCTAGGGTTGTTGTGAGAATTAAATGAGATAAAAGAGGCGTCAGGCAGGATCTGGCATAGAGGAGGTGATCAGCAAATGTTTGTTGAAAAGGTTTGGCAGGTCAGTCCCTTCCCACCCCTCTTGTTTGTCTTACTCGTCTTATTTATTCTCCAACAGCACTCCAGGCAGCCCTTGTCCACGGGCTCTCCTTGCATCAGGTAGGGGCTTTGCAGAGACCATCGACGGGCTGACTTGAGTAAGAACACGAATTATGCATGTGGCCATTTCCAGAGCACTTTCTATGTGACATGAACATGTGATTTTTATGTAATATGTGTATGTAAATGAGGCAGCCTTATTTCCAGGTGAGGATGAATTTGTTAGTGTTGATTTGTGTAATTTAAAAAAGCTGAAAGGAAGAGAGGACCCGTGAGGACTGAACTCCCTGTCCCGTGGGGCAGGACTTACATTTACATTAAAGAAACTGAAACTTGGGGGGAGGTGTAAGTGTTTGGTCACATAGCTGGCAAGAGAAGGGGTTGGAGTTGGACCCAAGGTGCCATGCTAGCTGCCCTCACCCCTGTTTCCCCTCTGGCCCAGCATTATACTAAGAGTCCTTTTATTTCGAACCAAATGTTTGACAATGGGACAGACTTTGAAATCCCAGCTGCCTGGGGTGGTCTTGGGGGTCGGGGTGGCCCCAGTGCTGGTACCATGTGCTGACTTCACCTTTTAATAGTGATGTAACCTTAAACAAGTCGCTTAACTTCTCTAAGTTTCAGTTTCTTTCATGGTCTAAATGGAGATTAAAACACACACACACACACACACACACACACACACACACACACACACACACCCTCGTGTATCTACCCCACAGGGCGCTTTTGAAGACCAAATGCTGTAACTACTATGAAAGTGCTTTGTAAATTGCTGTGGAAATTGCAAGCTACTTAACCACCCGAGGCTGTCCCTCCTCGCTCACGTGTCCAGCCCTATTCTCCCTTAGTGAGAACAGCACTGAGTAGGTGCTGTGTGTGTTTGTGTTCAATTAAGAAATTCCAGAATAAATAAAAATGAATTAATTCAACAAACATTTTCTGGAGCACCGACAATCTGCCCAGTGCACCAGGCTAGGTATCTGGTACAAAGATAATGAAAACAGTCTCTTGGAACCTAATTGGGGTCCTCATTTGATCAGGACTTTCTTTCGTCCCCTTTTAAGCCAACCAGTTTTGTCCGGACAAGACAAAACCACCTTGGGCTGCTTTAGAGAAGCCCAGCTCGGTGTAGACAATAGCTGCCCAGCCTCTGAAAGGGACTGATTGGATTATGTGGCAAATGGAGGTGCAAGGATGACTTGGACGGTGACAAACGAAGTGGGCGGAGACCTGCTTTGAGTTAATCCAGGCTATTAGGAGGGGACCTTTTGTCTTCCAGAGACTGGCAGCTTTTACCAGTGGTTTTTAAAAACATCCTTAATGTTCAGGACGAATAATTTATGGTCAGTGAAAATCCGGGCCCCAGTGAGATTCGAGTGGGCTGTAAAATCGGGAGTCCTGCTCCCAGTGAATAGTGGTAATGAATGTTTCTGTCACTTTTTGCAACCGTCCATTCATTTGATCCTCACAACTCCCTGTCCTGAGCCAGGGCCGGCCACTGCCACTCCCAGGGAAACAGAGGCTGTCAAGAGGCTCTGTAGTTTGGGCCCCACTGGATCACTGAACTCCTGTTCCTGAGTTCTAGAGGAAGAATTGTACCTGTCTCAGTCCTGGCCTCCTTCAGAAGGCCTCCCTCTGCATTTCTGACTTTGCTCTGCCTGCAGCCTGGAGCCTCCCAGGTCCCTGCTGTCATCTTTTCTAGCCACTACAGCCTCTGTCTTTCCTTTCACAGCCAAGCTTCTTGAAAGGCCTGTCTACACTTGCTGTCTTCCTTCCTCACCTCCAATTTCCTCTTCAGCCCACTGCTTCCTGACTCGCTCTACTCCGTGGAAGGGCTCTCACAAAGGTAAAGATTTTTCTGTAGCTTAATCCTTGTCATGTTTTCAGCTCATGGACACGACGACACATTTTCATGCCTTCTCTCACAGGGCTCTGCGGCCCCGGTTCACTTCTGTGTCCTTACACTCCCCTTCACAGAGACACCTGCTCCCCCTTCTCTCGTTCTTAGTGTCTCCTAGGAACTTGCATACCCAGGTCCCTCGACTTCTGGACCTGCTTCTTACCATGCTGTCTTAAGCAGTCAGGAGTCGCTGACCTGGGTTTGAGTCCTAGTTAAGTTACTTAGTGCTGAGACCTTGGGGTAGGTAAACTTTTCCAAGCCAGGTTTATCTCAGTTTCAAAATAGGGTTAATCATCTTTATCTGGCAGGTCAGGTGGGATGTCTCACAGGTAAGCACCAGATGCTATTTGAAGGGCTTGAAGCAAAGTCAATAAAGCATTCATGAGAAAAATACAACTGGAGGCACCACTAGATTTTCGTATACATTAGGTTCCCATGGGGAGGACTAAAGAGAAGAAAGAAGTGGAAAGGGAGGGGCGTGGAGGAGAGACAGGAGAAGAGAATAACTAAACAAAGGCATTAAAGACAAAAAAACAAGTAGGAAAGGGAGACTTGGAAAATATTAAAAGCCAAAAACACATCCAAAGACGGTTTCCCCTTACGTTAGGTTGGGCTAAAAGAAAGCAAACGGGAAGAAGGTTTTAAATTGATTATCCCAATGACAAATCCCAGGAAGCTTTCACATCAAATCACCCTAGTTTGGGTTTTTAACTCCTTCCATTGAGTTTAACCTCTTTACCTCCCACATCCTGGTAAAACCTGCCCCCTCCCCACCGCCCCCTTCGCTGGTGATTAAATCCTGAAGGTACACGAAGTATTTCAGTGAATGAATGGCTAACAGAAGAGGGCCTCCCCTCCCCCTTACCCCAGCGGTGTTTTTCAGTTTTATTCCACTTTCCGTCCTTTTCCCTTAATGAACACAGGGCTAATCTTGGGCCTTGTCGAAGGAAGAGGCTGCAGACGTTAATGAGGTTAGCTGCTGGATTCCAATATTCGTCGCATAAGGAGCCTTCTTTGTCTGCGAAGGAAAAACACACTGATTATCATAATGAGGTGAACTGGCCACTGCCGGGCCGGGGCGATGTGGCTTCTTAAGCCACACTTCTAATTTTGGTGATGGAGTCGACGTTTCTTTTGCTCCTCATTTAAGTCTTTGCCTCTGTCCCAGCACGAAGTCCATTCAGTGGGGTTGAAAGTTGCAGGCAGCTTTGAGAAGGGGGCTTTGGACAGGGTTGCATTGTAGAAAATGGCTTTGTTCGATCCTTTGCACAGATGGAACTGGCCAGAGCATTCATTCCCTCTCCAAGAGCTGAGGACCAGGGGGACCACTGGTGATCAGTTCCCTACTCTAGCTCTCCTCTGACTTGTCTCAGGACCCACTGAGGACATCCAAAACTCACTCAAGATTAACAAGTGGTAGGGAAGTAGTAACTCCTAGGCGTGGCCCTAGGGGAGTGACTGCAAAGTGAGTACCCATGGAATGCCTAGCCAGGTGAAGAAGTGAATGTATGTTGGCATCCCAGAGGGCCCCCCATAAGAGGGCATAGTTGGGGTTCAGATTTGACTCCAGCAGACTGTTGAAACTGGGGCACAGTGGCTATTGATTAGTCAGGATCAGTCAGTGGAGAGGAGATTAAAACTCACATCTGGGAATGTAGCATCAGAACTTGTAGTTCTTTTTTTTTTTTTTGAAACAGAGTCTCTGTCGCCCAGGCTGGAGTGCAGTGGCATGATCTCAGCTCACTGCAACCTCTGCCTCCCAGGTTCAAGCAATTCTCCCACCTCAGCCTCCTGAGTAGCTGGGATTACAGGCACCCAACACCACAGCTGGCTACTGTTTGTATTTTTAGTAGAGACGGGGCTTCACCATGTTGGTCAGGCTGGTCTCGAACTCCTGACCTCGTGATCCACCCGCCTCGGCCTCCCAAAGTGCTGGGATTACAGGTGTGAACCACCGCGCCCAGCCTGTAGTAGTTCTTTTGCCCCTTAATATCCTCACCCACATGTCCTATACCCTAACTGAGCCCTCATCCTCTTTTCTGATCTTTGAGCTCCCTAGAGCCCATAATTCTTTAGAGCAGGTATGTCCTGAGTCTGAAACATGCCCTTATTTGTCCCAAGCTCTGGACATTTCTCACCCCAAGGCAGATCAATCATGATTAGATCACTCCAATTAACCTTAGGCTCCAGTTGGACCTTTAGCCAAATGGGAAAAAAACTAGGGGATAAGGTGGGTAGTTGGAGCAAGAAAATGTTATTAGTTGAAACCTTATGGGGCCTTCCTTCCTTGATGAGTCTGTTGGCTAACGGTTCTCTGACATCGTGAATTAGAATTGGATACTGTTTCCAAGTTAGCAAAACCAACTCTACCCCAGTGCCCCATGAGAAAGAACGTGGAAGGATCTTCCATTGGCAGGTTGGGGCAAAAGCCTGAGGCAATCTTTCATCCCCTTTTGCCAAGGTGAGACTTTTCCCAGTGATGTAGTTGGCCACTCTGTCTAGGGGAGTGTTGAGACTACGGGTGGACTGGGGTATAGACCTCTGAAGCTGAGATCACACGAAAACCTGGCCTCCCTGCCATGTAGCTGTTGGTGAGTAGAAAAATAGAGCACGCCTGATTCTGAATGAGAAGACTTTCTTCAATAGTAACGAAGAATCGATGGCACCCTCCTCACCCTCAGATACATGGCAATCATTAACACACAGGCCCCAAAGCCACTGTTAGTACTACAGTAGCTCCTGTGGACAGTCAAAAGCCTGGAGCGGGCATGGAAGAAATCAGTTAGCCCCGGGCAGGTTCTCTGGGGTTTTGCTGTAGCCTTAACAAACTTTTAAAAGTTAACTCCCCACGTCCCCATCCTGCTTGGGTTTCTGGACTTTTCTGAGGCGCTGGCAGAGGGATCTCATTGCTTCCTTGAGTGTAGGGGCAGCCCCTTTAACCTGGCTCCTTGAGTCACTGCTTTTTCTGCTTCTGTTGCCTTCTTCCTCGCCTGTCCTCTCTCTCAATGTCTCTCTCTCTTTGTCCCTCCCCCAATTCCTGACCTGGTCCTCCTGTGGTGCCCTTGGCCAGCCCCGTGCTTCCTCAGGGTGTCCCAGCACCAGCCTGGCACAGAGTGGGGCTCTGTTAGAGTATGTGGGATGTAGGGTTTTGCCAGGTGAGTGGATGGAAGGACTCGACCACCACAGCTGAGCCACCAGGTGGGCCACGCGAAGAGTTCTAGGTGCAAAGGCTGGAGGGTGGAATTCATTTTTGAGAAGGGTGTGAGCAGCTTCCGACCCTGGCCCCCCTTGAACAGGGGCCTTACTGGTTGCGTCCTTGCATTCACCTGCGCGGCCATCCATCATCCAACAGTTGATCCTAACTGAGCACATCCACAGCCCTGGCTTTGGCCTGGGCACCTGCCACCGTAGCCCATCCCTTGATGGCCTCTGTGTCCCCAGGAGGGCGGGCCGGGGGGTTGCCCCAGGGGCTGGAGCAGTGGACTCCGGCTCCATAGAGGTCAGGCTGGAGGGTGTGAGGGCAGATTCAAGCTATCCCCAGGGCTCTGCTCTGGTCGGAGCCAGCACCTTCTCCCTCTCTGCCTTCCCTGCCCCATCCCTGATGCTGAGCTGTTCTGGACCCCGGCCCTGAGTCTCTCAGGACCAAAGTGGGCATGGGAACAGCTGTAGTGTGTGCCCCCGGGCTTTGGCCACAGGTCTCCCTCTCGAGGTGTGGTTGTGACTGCGACCCTTCCCTTGCCATGATGCCTTCCTCCCCCGGGGCTTGGTCCAGCTCCTTAACCCTCTAGCAGCTGCTGGGGCCCGTGTCCCATGCAGAGGACCAGTAGGGGAAACCTCCAGGGAGCATCTGCAGGCTCTGCCTCTGCCCAGCTGCTGACTTGGCTCTCCCTGGTAGCTCTCCAACGGCCAGGTTCCTCACCCATCCGGCGCTCCGCTTGCTCTGTCTCCTGAGGTGGGCCTGACCCATCTCCCCTTCTCTGCCTCAATCCCTGGGCTCCGGGGCTCAGCTCCACAGCCCTCTGCTTAGCAGTCTGGTTCTCCCTGCCAACCCCATACCTGTGGTCACCTGGCCGTCCTGAGGTCTGAGTATCACTGCCCTGACCCAGGAGCCACTCCCACTCCAGCTGCCTGTTTCCAGCAGGTTCCCAGTGCCCCCGACAAGCCCCTGCTGGTGTCTCCATCTCCTGCCAAGCATCCTCCAATGCCTCCTCCTGTGGGCCTGGCCTCAGGGCTATGGACAGACGCCTCTCCCTTCCCAGAGACCCCTCGTGATCGTTCCCTGGTGGGTGTTGCCCCTGCCTGCCCTTGTCTTCGTCATGGCCCTGAGAGTCCTGGGCTTTGCCCTGCCTGGTCCCTTGTTCCCCACTTGGTTCTGGGTTTGGGGCTGCCTCTAACCCAGCCCGTTGCTTCTTTGCACCTTTTCCTATCATTGGGCATCCCCCACTAGTCACCCCACTCCACTGAAAAGCAAAAAACTGCAGGTGAGGCCAAGCCCCGTGTCTTTCTTGGGCGTGTTTGGCTTTTCCGGGATGCTTGCCTTGCTGTGATTCTAACTGTCTACCCTTCCCCAAGGCACGTGGGCCGTGGCCTGGCTGGGTCAGCTGAAGAACTGCTGATGGAAGCCGCGGAAGAGGCCCCGATGGGGCCCACCACCCTGGACCCAAGTCTTCTTCCTGGCTTCTCGTCTCCTTCGTGGTTTGGGGTGAGTTTCTTGCTTTCTTGAGACACCAGGATTTTATTAGCTCAGCTCATGTCTCTCCTCTCTGATCAAGAGTGTCAGCATTTAGTCTGGGGAGGAGGCACCCTGCCAAGGTGAATCCTCTTCACATCAGCCCGAGGGGTCTGGGGGCCGGAGAGCTGCCCGGAGTGGAGACCCTTGCTATACCCAGCAAGCAGGTGTGGGGGTCCAGCCTGGCTGATGGATGCTATGGGCCGGCGATGGTAAGTGGGGAGTGTCCACCTCCATTCTAGACCCCCGAGAACGGCTCGGGCCAGACACACAGGAACCCTCAGTACAGTTTTGCTGAACACATTGTCAGAAGGGATCCAGGGGGCACTTGCCCTGCCCACACCCGGCCCAAGGACCCATTCAGAGAGGAGGAAATGGGAGTGCTTGCCTGCTCCTCAGCCAGGAAGACATTTCTTTCCACCAGCCATGGTAGCGTCCCGCTCTGTGAGAACCGTGGCTTCTCACACAGGAGGCTTTGATAATGTCCTTTAATCAAATAGTGGTTTTTGAGCAAGTTCTTCTCTTTCCTCCTTTCCTCACCCCTGACATTGCAATGAGATGGGAATGTTTTTGTTTGTTTAAATAAAATCGCAATGGTAGAGAAGAAGAAAGCGGGACTGGAGCCACACAGTTCACTCGAGGACTCATCATTTGTTTATTTGTGTTTTACTAATTCAAGATGCATCCGGGAGCCGCCCAGGGCTCGTCCTTGGGGTTATTCTGAGGTGCCTAAGGTTGGGCTTTGCACTAAGGACCAGAGGGCCTAGTTGGGTGCCCTGGGAGCACCCATGCAGCAAGGTGGCTTGCACGGCAACCAAGCAAGGTGTCGTGGAGGGCAGGGGGCTCAGGGTTGCATGTTGGACGGCCACACCAGGGTGAAGGCTGGGCCGGCAGGAGAGAGAGGAGGCTCAGCTCAGCTGAGCCCACTTTCCTTTCTGCTTGCCAGGGACTGATCCTGTGGTTCACTCAGGGCGATGGGGTGTTTTTAGAGCCAGCCGCCCTGGGAGGCAGTGTCAGGATCCTGGCATCCCTCATATCTGACGCCCCTGGGGTGGCCATTGGGGTGAATGAGTGCAGTTAGACTTCCAGAGAATCTGGGTGAGCGCTGAGAAAGTTATGAACCATGGGGTGAGGCTGGCTCCATTCCCCTAGACATTTATGGAGCCTTGAGGGGGCCCTAGCACTGTCCTTGGCCCAGATGCCAATACTCCTCACTGGAGACCCACACATGGGATCTCTGAGAAGGAAGTAGATGAACAGAGCTGCACACCGAGTGGGGCCCAGCCTCTAGTCCTCAGCCGTGTGCGTGCATTAGCCCGTGTGCAGTTCCCCGTCCCCTGTCCCCCGCCCTCCACCCCCCCACCCCCACCGCCACCCCCACCGCCACCCCCACACCCAGAGTATCTCTGGTTTCCAGCGCAGCCTCCGTAATGCTCTTTAATCAAACAGAGGATTTGGAGACAGCTCTTCTGCAGCCCTGCCCTTCTCCCCTGAAATTGAAATGGGATGGGGATATTATTTTTAAACAAAATCTGGCAGCGTAGGCAGAGGGGGCAGAGGCGCTCTAACCTGGGGCTGTTGCCTTTGTCTGCTTGTTTCTGCTCTCTGGAGAGCCCCACAGCCTGGAGAGACGGGGGGAGTGTGTGCCCAGGGCTAAACCCAGGGAGGGGGCCCAGGAAGGCTCTGCCCTGTGACATTTACTCCAAGGCTAGCATTTGCTGAGCCACCTGCAAATAGAGTGATGTGGAGGAGAGGCCTGGGAGGGGAGGTTTGCACAGGGGCAGGATGCTGGGGTCCTGGGGGCATCGTGTCCCAAGCTTACTAGAATGCATTTGAGTAGCTGGTCTGAGCCAGATGCCATCAGCTCCTGGACTGGTTTCTCAGGGACATCTCAGGACTTTCCCAAGGTGGACTAAGCCCAGGGGCAAAGTCAAAGTGAAGGCCACGGGCACACAGGTGAGGCCCAGACAGGATCAAGCTTTGGCAGCCCCTGGCTCTCAGGGATTGAAATGGAACCCTCTTTGCACTGACTTCTGTTTCAGGTGCTCATGAGTATTTCGGTCTCAGGCAAACACGTATTTGGGGTTTTGTGTGTCACTAGGTAGAAAATAGGTAAAAATATACCATGTTCTCAATTCAAGAAGTTGAAACGTGACTTACTACGTCAGCCTTGCTGATGATCTTCTCGGGAACTGTTGAAAGGCCATTATTATTATTTTTTTTTTGAGACGGAGTCTCGCTCTGTCGCCCAGGCTGGAGTGCAGTGGCGCGATCTGGGCTCACTGCAAGCTCCGCCTCCCAGGTTCACGCCATTCTCCTGCCTGAGCCTCCCGAGTAGCTGGGACTACAGGCGCCCGCCAGCTCGCCCAGCTAGTTTTTTGTATTTTTTTTTTTTTTAGTAGAGACGGGGTTTCACCGTGTTAGCCAGGATGGTCTCGATCTCTTGACCTCGTGATCCGCCCGTCTCGGCCTCCCAAAGTGCTGGGATTACAGGCTTGAGCCACTGCGCCCGGCCTGAAAGGCCATTATTAAGTGGTGAAAGACAGGATCATTTTCAGGAAAATTCTATTTTGATGGATTGGCCAATGCCTGAGCCATAGCGAGTGGAGATGAGACCCCGTCTGACCAGGCAGTGAGCCATAGAGGACCCTGTCACGTCAGTGGAGGGCGGTGAGGGGTCTCTGGCCATTTGTCATCGTGCTGAGTGGTTCCTGGGTCCGCCTCTAGTGGGACTCTTCTGGGTGGGTGCAAGTGTCAGGGTAAAGGTGGTGGTCTGGTCTGGAAACTGGCTCTCCTCTCGCACCTGCCCACTCTGGGTGGCTGGGAAAGGAAACCAAGAGGGTAGCTCAGGCTTGAGCTTGTGGAAAAGAAGAAAATGGCCCCTCGTTCGCTCACTCGCCCCACATTCTCTCACCTGCGAGTTGCTCATTGCTGCTTCCAGGGCCCCTGACCTCATGCCTCCTGCGTTGTGATTCAAACCCCAAATGTATTTCCAAATACGTTTCTCCAAATAATGTCAAAACCTGGCAAGACTTCAGGGCAACAGGATGCATGTGTTTCTTATTCTTTCATTTACATGAAATAACTTAAATGTGTTTTTTATGAGCAATCTGACTTCCAGAAAGAATGAAAAGGAATATCTACCCATTTTTAATGAGCTTGCTAATGAATTATTCCTTGCAAAGAGGAAGGGAGCTTTCCACAGAAGGGGGTGTGGAGGGAGACAGATTCAGGTCCCAAAGGGTTAAAGGGCAGTGGACAATGTGGAAGCCAGCATTGTGAGCTGCAGTGGAAAAGCCCTGGGTTGCTGGGAGCGGCTTCTTTTTAGGAGACTGGAATTAATGAGTTGTGAATTGTCCCCTAGGACTGGTTCCCCCTCCCAGCTGTTTCTCTGAGCCCTGTCCCCTCTTCCAAAGGAGGAATAAGGAAGTCTAGCCTGGTCTCCCATCCCCGATTTGAGCGGATGGAAACGTCTAGAAAAGAGGTGTACCTTTCGAAACGAGGCCTCTCAAGTGTGGGGTTCCTGGTCTGGAAAGGAAAAGGATGAGTCTGCGGTAGGAGAGGGTCTTGGATGCAGCCCATTCAGAAAGGGCGGTCCCACACCTGGGCTGCCCACAGCTTCTTGGGGGAGTCTAAAGAAAGAGGATCCACAGAACAGGCTTGCCTCCTTGGCATGGATGGGTCAGTGTTTCAGAGCCAGGAACGGTGGGAGTGCAGAGGGCCCCTCCCCTCCCACCTTCCCTCCCAGGAGCTCTGCAGGCACTGCAGTAGGACGGCACATTGCCAGAACGGGGGTCCCAGCTCCAGTCAGATCCAGTGGACATGGAGAGACCCCTTATCTGTGCCAAGACGAGCTCTGCGGTGCCTGAGAGGCCCGTAGATCTGAAATTCCTAGGGCCTTCTGGGTTTGAGTCAGGTCCTGAGGCCAGGGCCTGGGCCCCAATCCTCACCGTGGAAAACTGTGGTCACTTTACTCAGGACAAACTGTGATGAGGACTTGGGACATATCTCTGTCTGTCCTCTCAGCTCCTGTCACCCCCGAGCCCCTGGCGATCGTGGGCGGCCCATGTACAGAGCAGGTGCTGGGTCGCTGGGGCCACCGTGGGCCTCCCAACATGAGGGACTGTGTGTGAGAGAGGAGTTCATTAAGGGAGAGGATGGTGGTGGAGGGTGTAGCCATGACTTTCTTAATTGCTCTCCAATTTCTTTGAGCTTAAAAATAAATCCAGATGGAGAGTTCTTAAGTCCCCTGCCCTGGGAGAAAGGAAGGCTGCCCACCACCTTCAGCTTGCCTCTACTCTGAGCAGTGAATAGGGTCTTTGGCAGGGGCTTAAGGAGGAGACTCTTAGCCTGGGAGCTCCCAGGGCCGTTTCAGATGGAAACAAAGGCTCGGGCCGAGAGGAATGTGGGGGAGCCCCCCGTGGGGAACAGCCACCTGGGGATCATTGGGAGGGCTGAGCGTAGATGAGTTTTCCCAGGTCCTGTGAATGCGCCTTTTCAATGGAAGGTGGCTTTTCTTCAGATGAAAAGAAGAAAACGTCAATTACCTTCCCCTGAAACGGAGTGTGTGTGTGTTCCCTCCCAGGGCTTGCGTGGGGCCCCTTGCCCTTGTGTGTGTGTCAGGAGCTCCAAGGCTGCACAATGATGCACTTAACCAGCCACCGGGTTCGCGCGACCCTGGGATGCTCACGGTTTCAGATTCTAGGGATTGCTTTTGAAAGTTTCTTAGCAAAGGGGAATCAGAGTGGTTGTGCCTGTAAACAAAAATTTGATCAGCCGGGGCCTGTTGCCCGACATATAGCCAAAGAGACAGAATGGGGCTGCGGGGAGAGAGGTCCGGGATGGAAAGTTGGGAAAGGAGGACAGTCGGGGGCCAAAGGTTGGCGGCATGTCTGCTCCGGCCTCCTCACTCACAGCTGGGCTGTTCCTTCTGCCACTCCAGCCCTTACTCTGGGCCCTCCTGGGAGTGGACACAGAGTGATTCTGTACTCAGGAAGTTGGGGGTAGGGGGCTCAGAAATCCACAGGGCTGCTGTTTCCTGGTTAGGGAGGAGAGGAGGGGTCATCACGGCCTGCAGGGTTGGTGGGCAGCTGCGAGAGAGGGGACCCTTTGAGTTAGAGTGAAACTGTTTGCACCACCGCTGCCCCAGACTGCTGTAAGGGTGGGGCCACTCCGGAGGCACCAGGGGCAAAGTCCCTGCCATGACAGGAGTGGGGCCCGGTCTTGGTCTTGGCTGGTCACTGACTTTGCTGCTGGCTTCCGAGCCTCATTTGTTAAACTGGGTACTAGCCTGTCAGTTCTCCATATTCTCCAAGTCAGAAGGAGCCTGGGAGGTCAGTGCTGGAAAGCAAGGCCACTGTTTCACCAGAGTGGGTCTCCACTCACCTCCTGGCTGGTCACACTGTCGCTATTCGGGACTTGCCAGGTGGACAGAGGAGAGAGTTCTCAGCTCTCTCCCGCAACTTGGGAGCAGTCTTCCAGACACTTGGTTACAGCCTGCGCTCAGCCCTGACTGTGGGTGTGACCTTGGCCTCTGTCTCCAGTCCCCTAGGCCTCAGTTTTCCCATCTACAAAATGGGCGAGTACAGACCCATGGTCGTCCAAGTGGCCTTGGCGCTCCTGCAGTGTCGGGGTTTCTTTGGGCCTCCCTGGAGGTCATTTGTGGTTTGTTTGCTGGGTCTTTGGAGTTGTTAGGACTTTGGGGGTCACTGGTCCCCTGCCCCCTCTGCTTTAGAGATGGGGAAACCAGAGATCCCAGAGGCCCAGAGCCTTGCCCAAGGTTGCACAGTGAGCTGGCAGCAGGCCCTGGAGGTGAAACTCCTGCTAGTTGCCAGCTCCTGCGTGACCTGTGTGGTCAGGGGGTCACAGTCACCGGTCATTAGTGTGAGTCAGAGCCTGAAGAAGGTTCCCAGGGGCTGCCGCATGAGCTGGGGTGCAGGGATCCTGTTTTATGGGGTATTATTCCAAACAGGAAGGCTACTGGGCTGGTCTAGAACACCTTTTTGGTCTGTAGAGTGACTCTTGTGTAATGAGACTGGACTTGTGGCTTCAGAAGCAGGAGATGTTCGTTCCCCCCAGCCCCATGGCTCACCTTGTGCCTTTTGGGTCCTGAGACCCTCGCCAACACCTCTGTTGGCACTATGGCCCAGTCAGCTGAGAACTTCCTGAAAAAGCCAATAGGATGACAACTTCTGGAAAAGTGATCATCACCCGCCTGCACTGGCTGCCCGTCTTAGACTCAGCTTTGCAAACATTTCCAGCTATCTCTTTGTGCTGCAGTGTGTGGTAATGAACAGCTCACAAAACCTCGGGTCGGGCCTGCACCTGGTTATTACCATGGTGGGCTGCAGCTTTTGTTTTGTGACCTTGGTTGCTACAATACCTGCGAGCTGAAATGAGGAATCGAAAAATTGCCAGCTTCAATTAGACGGGCAGACTGCTTTCCCAAGGCTGCCTCCGCCACTCGATCCATTAACGGTAAACAGGCACCAAAGAGGCCCTAATTCTCTCTAATTGCCCACTCCTGAAGCAAAGAGGTGAAATTCCAGGAAGAGGCATATGTAAACATCCTCTGTAACCTGACCAAGTAAAATTAGAGGGCTGATGGGGGCCTGCGAGAGAGAGAGGGGACATGATTTCAAAAGATGTCCCAATTACCTCTCCTGTTTTTATAAATGGGTCCGTAATGTCCGGGGCCCCAGCCTCACAAAGGTACAGGAAATTAGCTCTGCGAAGAGCTTGCATTTGTCCGGGGAAGTTGTAAGGGGGTGGTATTTACTCAACAGGTAGGAATTATGAGATCTGAGGCAAGACTGATTATTTGTTAACGACAGGCTCAATTTCTTGAGATCAACATTTTAATAAAAATCATCCTTTTAGGTCTTTTTCTGTTTGAAACAGCCATAAGTTATTTATACCAAAGACATGCCAGATCAATTAGGTGCTGTTTGCCTCCAGAAAAGAGTAACTTTTAAAATCCTAAGATGCAGAACTGGAGTTTTCTAATCCCGTTAAGCTGTGGAGGATGGTTTTGGAGTGTTCACCAACGCTTTCTGCGTGGGTCATGAGCTCACTGCACGCACTTATGAGGTCTTTGATCAAATGCTTGTGGCAATTACTCCTCTGGACTCTATAAGGAGGCCTCGTGTTTTTCTTTGGTTCCAGACAGTGACTCATCTCTGCAGCTTTTCTGACATTTGTTAAGATTCTAGCCCAGCACCGCGTTATTAACACATCACGGCAAGCCCAGAGCTGGCACACGCAGCTTTTAAACCAAGGCACGAATTTGTCGGGACTTCACTGTAGCAGAGAAGCCCGGGGTCTGCACACAGAGTTAATTAAGGACAGTCAGGGACTCTGAGGGTTCATGGGGTCCCTGGAGCAGAAGCAGGAAAAAACCCAGATGCTCCTTCCTCCTTCTGATTTCCCCGCTCCTATTAAAAACACAAAAAAGAACAAAGCAAAACCAGCAAAACAAAGCCCTCGGCTCTGATTCCTGCGGGAAATGGCAGTGCCTTTGGTCTCACTGTGTGTTCTTGGCCTGAGTCTCGTTGCCACCTTAAGACGTGGTGATGGTGAGAGGCCACCCCAGCAACGCGCAGTCTCGGAGGGAGGGTGGGAAATGGTCTCGAGTGGTCATCAGTAGATAATGGGTGGTCTGGCAGCCTTTAGGTAACTGAACCCTACCCCTCAGTCACCCATGCACTGATCACTGCTTCCCTAACACTTATTTTAAGACTTCTTGTTTCTTGGTTATCAAATTAACCAGTTATGGCAAAACAGGGTTTATGAAGGGCAAGGCCAGGGAAGTAGAGTTTAGGAGGATTTGGAGGCAAGAAGTGTCCCCATTGCCCTGGCTGGGTCTTGGACATCCTGGCTGGAGACATGACTGCCTGGGAATAGAGAGGCAGAGGCAGCAGGGGTGGCCCAGATGGCATGGGTGGGTTGGAAAGATCCCTGAGAGGCCTGGGGACAGGTGGTCTTGGGAGTCCCTAAAGACCTGCAGTGGGGCAGGCAGCTGGGGTCAGGTATCTCCTGAAACCATTTGTTTGTTTGTTTGTTTTTTTTGAGACAGAGTCGCGCTCTGCCCTCTAGGCTAGAGGGTAGTGGTCTAGGCTAGAGGGTAGTGGCGCGATCTTGCCTCACTGTAACCTCCGCCTCCCGCGTTCAAGCGATTCTCCTGTCTCAGCCTCCCGAGTAGCTGAGACTCCAGGCACGCACCACCACGCCCAGCTAGTTTTTAGTAGAGATGGGGTTTCACCATGTTGGTCAGGCTGATCTCGAACTCCTGACTTCAGGCGATCCACCCGCCTTGGCCTCCCAAAGCGCTGGGATGACAGGCATGAGCCACCCCCTGGGGCTGGAACCTGTGGTCTGTGGTTTCTGCCTTCCCCAGTTTCCCCACATCCCTCTCATGGCCTTTCTGTTTCCTGGGTGGCTTTGTGGTGGCGTCCCATGGTCTCCCCCTGGCTTCCTATCTCCACCTGTGCCTAACCCAGGAAACAGTCCCTATAGAGGGTGTTTTCAAACAGACCTTGGCCCTGTCCTCCTGGCTCAACCCCTGGCTGCCCCGTCACCCAGCTTGCCGCGCTGGTGGGATCTCAGCCGTCTCAGGCTACCTTTCTATGACACCTCCTCACCTTAAGTAGACTCTGTGAACAGATTTTAAAAGCTATTCATTCAACACATTTTTTAAATGAATAAACTTTTTTTTCCTGTGTAGTTTTCAGTTTACAGAAACATTGGTGGGAAAGTACAGAGAATTCGCAGACCCTGTCCCCACCATCTCCCCTCTCATTCACGCATTGCCTCCGTGTGGTGTGGTCTGTTTGTTCCAATCGATGGAACAACTCTGATACATGATTAACTAAAGGCCTTGGTTCGCATCATTAGGGCTCACTCTGGCGCACATCCTGTGGGTCTTGACAGATGTGTCATGATACGTGTCTGACATTGCTGAAGTCAGCTTTTCTTGAAGCTTAAAAGTTTGGGAGTATTCTGAACCACGTTTGGCCCAGCCTGCTGCCAGATTAAAAAAGAAAAAACAAACAAACAAAAAAAACCAAGTTAAAACGTAAGGCAAATCTTGACACTGAAGACTCAATGTGCCTGGCCATGGTGCTTCCCAGTACCTACCACAATGTGAACAAAATTGCCACAGTGGAGTTGTCTGTCCAAGCATACGATGTGTGTGCCATGGTTTTGGGAAACCCTGCCCATTAATAGCCCTGCAGCCCTCTGTGGGTTGCCCTCCCGGCTATACCCCGCTTCTCTGGTCTCCTCCAGGGCCTGCCATCCTGCTAACCAACCTGGGTACCTTGCTTCTTCCAGAGCACAGGTTCATGCCCTGTCTTCAGGGCCTGGGTCACTCCCCTTTCTCATCTATGCAGTGCCCTAAGCCTTTGGGTCCCACAGAGCACAACTTAGGTCCATGGATGGCACCAACCCAAGTCTGTTCCATATTTCCACTCCTGCCCCTTCTGCTCCATAGGCAGCTGGTGGGCAAGGAGAGTGAGGAGAGAAATGCATGGCCTCTCCAATTCCACACTTGCTGGAGGTTGGGGAGTCCCTGCTCCAGGCCACCCTTGCCCCCCCACCCCGAGCTGTTGTCCTTATCCACCCTCCTCCTCCTCGCCAGCCTGAGTGAGGTTCCACTCTGTGACCTAATGCCTTCTCCTTACAGCCGAAGCCATCACCTGGATTCCTACGTGGGAATGGACCTCGGACGTGGGACCCCAGCCCCCCTCCAGCTCGAAATCGTAAGTGGCTGGAGCGTAAAGAGCACACACACGTGGCCTTGCTGCTGAGGGTGGGGCCTGCCTTCTGGAGCACACTGCTAGGCGGACCGCGTGGAAGGGCTGGTGGGCGCTGGCCGGGGGGTCTGTGCACGGGGAGGTGGATGCCCATCGAGTCAAGCCAAGTGCAGACCTGGGGGCTCCTGTTTTCTAAGACAGGAACCCCCAGCCTCCTTGTGTTGTCTCTGTGGCAAAGGAATTCTATAGGCGGCTTCAAATGTCGGACCCCAAAAGAATTTCTTCTTTTTCACTCTTCTAAATGAATGGCTCTTTCATTATTGAGTCTCCCTTTGGCTCTTGTGCCGCAGGGCAGACTAGGATGGAAGTGCCCTGTGAGCTGGGGGGCCTTCAAAGGGCCAAGGAGAAAACGCAGGCCGAGGGACCAGCCTTCCAAATGGGCTTCGAGCTCCAATGACCTCCGCTCACCCCCTCGAAATGTCTGGAAAACATAATGGGCAGATTTTCTGTCTTCAAAGTTTCCGGCTAAACCTCTTCAAGTTCTTTATTGTTTGGGACTGAGACACTCAGCCATGGTAATGGGTAGTTTCTTTTGTATTTGCCTTGAAAGGCCAAAATATTTTTATATTGCCACAGACAAAGCCACCTATTTAAAAATGAACTCCATGTCCGTCGTTTCCCACCAGGAGACTATGTACCATGTGTGTGTCTCTATGTATTCTGGGGTCTTGAAACAGGTTTCTCATGGGGATGGTCATTCACCACAGTCCAGAGGGGCAGAACGGGAGGTGCTTGCCCTGCCCAGGGGGCCTGGGGAATGTGGGCCCTCATCTCAGATCTGCCCCCAGTATGTCTAGGACGTGAGCCCCAGAAGGATCTGGGAGTAAACTTAACATTCACTGGATCTCTGCTCTGCATCTGCCATTCGTGTGTGTTTCCGGACTGTGGGCTGTGTGTACCTTGGTGGGTGACTCAGTGAGAAGAAGCAGGAATGCCAAAGAGACTGTGAATGTTCTGGGTTTTGTTGTTGTTGTCGAGAGGTTGTTTCACTGGTATCTATTGCATTACATAGTAAATGACTGGATGAATGAATGAGTGAAGAAGAGGGAACGGATAAACAAGTAAATAGGTAAAGAAGTAAGCCAGCCAGGAGGAGAGTGTGTGTACCCAAGACCATGGTTCATCCACTTTGATGCCTGGGCAGTCAATATATAAATAGAAAAAACCCGTTGAATCACTAAGTAATAGGGCAACACACCAAACAATATCAGGTGATTATGGACTAAGGGATATGTGTAATTCAAATATATGCCTCTGACATTTGACAATGAAAAAGAACCTAAATAAAAGAAAGAATGGATGCTTGAGTAGTGAAGTGCAGAATGAGACATAGATTTGGAGGCCTGTCAAAATGAAAGGATGCAAGTTAGGGAACAAGTGATCAAAAGGGAGAAGGGAAGGATTTTTTAAAAAAACCAAAACAACAAATAAAAGATAGAAAGTTAAAAAAAAAAACAAAAAACAAAACTAGAGGATGAGTAACTCTATAAGGAGGACCATGTCAGGCTATTGTAAGCTAAACATTAGGACTAATACAAATAGTATATGCTCCTGGCGTAGAAAAATAAAGAAACCACAGAGAAAGAGTTCAAAGAATAGCAAAGAAAGAAAGAGGATCCAGTGGGCGAAATATGAGAGTGTGCTTTTACCAAAAGTTATCTAAGCCTGAGCACTTGAAGTCTGCACAGAAATAAATCAATGACAAAAGAAAGAAAAAAGCCAAAAAGTCTATATTGCATGTGTGGATGAATGAATGAGCAGTGAGAATGCAGTGCCAGGTTGACACGGTGTCGTGAGGGGTTTTGAGTCATCCAGTCCTGGGCACTGAGGTCTGTTAGATGAAAGGATATGAGAAAGATAGTGTTGATAAATAAAGAAATAGGAAAAAATGTAACAAATGTTAAGTACAGAAATACATTAATGGGTGATAAATAAAGATGTAAAAGAAGGCAGTGTGATAGGTGGTGGCAAAAGATCATCACAACTAAGGGCTATGGCTGGTCCACTTCTAGAAAACCACAGGCTATCCATTAAATAATAAACATCTAAGTGAACAAGTCAGTGAGTATCTAAACAGACAAGGATGAGGTGAGTGAGAAGACGTGGCCCCATGGGTCCTCCTGATGAGGGTGTTGGGGTCCCCCCTGGGCACCCCAGCTGCATGAGAATGAAGGACAGGAGGTATGGAAAACTGTGACAGAAGAGAGAAAGGAACAGTATAAAGAAATAACAGCCAAACGGATAAATGGGTAAATCCATGAGAAGAGTTAGGCAAGGACTTGTCATAAGGGCACCTGATTCTACTAATAGAGGAATAAATGTCAAACAGAAAGAGAGAAAGCAGGAAAGAAGGATGCTATGAATGCAGGAAGGAAGGAATGAGTGAGACATGGAACCGCACGGCCAAGGATGGGCGTTTGCGGGTGGCTTTATGATGTGTACAGCCACTCCATGGCACTGAGCTCCGAAGACAGAGTGCAAGAGAGAACGAGTGAGAGAGACACAATAAAAAACGGGAAGAAATGTGAAAAGGGAGAAAGGAAGAGAGGTAACATATTAAGAAATAAATACATGCATGCAGATTTAAGACAGAGCCATGCTAGAACAGGAATGAAAGTCTGTGTGAACCAAGCAGGCCACTTAATTGGCATTGGTGCTGCTGGTATAGTCTGCCACCTACTCAGCTAAGGAATGGCTCAAAGCATACACATGGGAGGGAGGAGTGGGGCCACAGAGAGAGGGCCCATTAGTTGCAGATTATGATGTATCCAGTTAGATGCACCTGCCGTCTAGAAGTGTAAAAATAAGTATTTACATAGAAAGACTGAATGGATGCATGGCGAATGCATGAACGAATCAATGACAGAAAAGATTCGCATTGACCAATGAGGAGGGCGTTGTAGATAAGGGTGAGGGTCATTGATCCTGGGTGCAGCTCTCCAAAAGAATGACAGAAAGAAAGAGGGAGTGGTGGAAAGAAACAATAGGATGGGAAAAAATGAAAATGGAATAAAAGGAAGTGAAAGAGATAATAAATAAGTAGATGGAACAAGTTGATCAAAGGGGGCTGGTTTAGCACAAGCCATCCACATTAATTCAGATCTGTGGCTCTGAAGTTTGTTTTAAAAATTACCACAAGTGAAAGACTGAATGAAAGAATAGATGCATGCATTCCATAGGAACGCAAGAAAAGGAGCGGGGAATGGAAAAATTGGAAGAATGAGAGAGGGAGAGATGTAAGAAAAGAAAAAACTGAAGTAGGCATATGAACGAAAAGGCACTTCCTGGACAAGCACTGAAATATAATGAGACAATTTTATCCATTAAATATAATAAATAGTAAACATTGAGGTTAATCAATAAAAGCACAAATACCTGAATAGAGGAGTGACTGTCTGAATGAATGAGAATGGATGATTTTCCCTATCCTCTGCACTTAAGGCCCTAAAGAATGAAAAGAGAAACCAAGAGAGGAGAGAATATGGAAACGTATGACAGGATGTGTATAAGCAATACAAACATATTGAATGAATAAATAAAGACATAAATATGTGGGAGAGCGGACCGTGCAAGGACAAAAACAGGAGAGAAGGCAGCAAGAATTATGACTAATTCAAAACTGGGTTCCTAAGATAGTTAAATAAATCCTGCACCAAATCCCCAGGGAGAGGAATTAATGAACAAAAGACAGCCCCACGCGGACCGGTGTGCAGAAGGCTCCGGGAACCGCAGATTATGGTTAATCCAATTCTTTGCACCTGAGGTCCATAAATAAAAGAACAAATATTGAAATGAAAGAATGACAGAAAGAATGAATGGACACATGAACGACTGAATTAGAAATGGAAATGCCTGGCACAGCCAGGAAGGAGCTGCCCATGGGATTCTCATTCATCTCACTCTGGGCACCTGGGGTCCATAAGTGTGAAAAGAGGCAAGAAGAGAAGTGTGAGGGAGTCAAAGATAGAGATAAGGAAAGGCAAGAATGAAACTAAATGAAAGCGAAAGGGAAAATAAAGAAAAACCAATAAAAAAGAGAACGAATATGTGGGTGTATCTGTAAGAGCAGGATCTGTTAGGATTAGTCAGAAGGCTGTCGGTAATCCTGAAGATGGATGAGATAATCCAGGCCCAGGTTCCCAGGGGAGGGAAACTGGAGAAAATATAAAAAGAAGTGAAAAAGGAAAAAGGAAAGGTAATAAACAAACAACCAAAGTGATAAATGGATAGTTAAGGGAGGTTGTCTGAACAGGGATTATAATTAGTTTACATACGTACTCCTTAAATAGATAAATACATTACACCTTTCAAAGAATAAATGAAAAATAGAGAGACATACCTGGCTCCAAAACAAGGCTGTATCTTCTGCCACTGTAATAAAATAGATGCAATTGAGGTTCATAAATAAAAGAATAAATACTTAAACGTAAAAGGTGACTAAATGCGGGGAAGAAAGATTGCAAATAAATACATGGGCCAAAGATGTTTGTTTTGCCCGTGGGGTTTTAATTAACACAATTAATAAGGAAAACAAATACCCAAAATAAGAAAGACGGACAAATGAGTGAGTGGATGACAGAGTGAATGGTGCTTGATGAAGGAGCAGTAGTGCTTCAGAGACCAGTGTGAAGATAATGACCGGGGGAGCCCTGATTCATTTGATTCTGTGCTCCTGACTTTATAAGAACCAGAAGATGGCTGGGAATGGTGGCTCATGTCTGTAATCCCAGCACTCTGGGAGGCCGAGGTGGGTGGATCATGAGGTCAGGAGTTTGAGACCAGCCAGTTTAAGATCAGCCTGGTCAACGTGGTGAAATTCCGTCTCTACTAAAAAAATATAAAAATTACAGGCGTGGTGACGCGCCTGTAATCCCAGCTACTCGGGAGGCTGAGGGAGGAGAATTGCTTGAACCTGGGAGGTGGAGGTTGTGATGAGCCAAGATTGCACCACTGCACTCCAGCCTGGGCTACAGAGCAAGACTCTCAGATTTGAAAAAAAGAGAAGAAGAAGAAAGAACCAGAGAAATATAAGGAAGGGTGAGAGAAAGAAAGAAAGATACAATTTGGGAAGCAATGAATAAAGAATAAAACAACAGTCAATAAATAGGACTTGTGAATGGAGGCCTTTAGGCCAAAGGTTATGATTAATTTCAAGCTATGTTACTGACGTCCATAATCAAAGGACTCAGGTCTAAATGAATGAATGAATGATTGGAAGAAAGGGTGGTAGGAAGGTAGGAAGAAAGGAAGGAGGGAAAAAGGGAAGAGAGGAAGGAACATTCTTTCCAGTTCTGTGTTCTAGACAGTGGAATGAAGTGGTCCCCAGGGAGGGTGACTGTTGGCATGTCATGTGCTTGTCACATGCACTTGCCCAGGCTCAGGAAGACCCTGGTCTTGGGGTGCTGTTGCCCTATCTTGGCTGTGTGGGACATTTCACTGCATCTGTCTTTTCCTCAGTTTCCCCATCTGTAAACTGGGAGTGGCACCAGCTGCCTACTTGGGTTGACCTTACGTGTCCCTGTTGATGGTACCCCATCTATGGCCTGGATAGGCAGGAAGGGCTTGGACCCTGGGCCCCGCAGAAGGTTGCATGAACAAGTGGTGTGAAGCCTGGTGGGTAGCTTGGCCCTTCCCTGGGCATGGGTCACCTGTGCAGGAGGTTTTGCCCGCCAGGGGGCAGCAGAGGGTCAGGGAGCAATAGGCCCTGGGTGGAGCATGGGCCCCGCCTGCTGTGTGCCACCCTGGGTGTGGCGCCTACTCACATCCAGGGGTTGGTGCAGGGAAAGGCCAGAAGGTGGCCAGGGGCACCTGAGAAGGGGGGACCCAGAAGCCCCGGGACCCAGGAGCCCTGGGCAAACCACCAGAAACCTTGTTCTTGCAACTCTCTGCAGTGTGCCCAGGCCACCCTCTGGCCTGGTCTTCCATGGGGCAGGGCATCCAAGCTTCTCAACTCAGGGTTTCCTGGGCAGCAGGTGCACCTCAGCACCCCTGAGGTTGCAGAAGTGGTCTGGGGACCCTGGCTCCCTTGACATGCCATCCTTAGAGCCTGATTCAAGGCCTCTCTGTCTTCTCAGCTGTTTCACGATGTGTTTTGTAACTTGGCGGGATCGCGTTTCACTGTGTGGAGGTTGTCTCTTCTCTGACTCACCCTCTGGGGGACTGCAGGGGCAAATCTGGAGAGTTGCTCATGCTGAAAGTCGTCCCCCAGGGCCTCCCAGGTTCTGTTGAGTCTCCTTTCTCTGTAGTGGAGGAAATGTGCGTAGTTCTGTGTTGTGTGCATGTGTTTGTCTGTAAAAGCAAGGACCAAAGTCTCCCTTGTGACCTCTCAATTCCTATTTGGGACATTTAAAAACACTGGATTCTTAACAAGTGCCTGGAGCAGTAGGAGCACAACTTGGATGGACTCAGGATGATGGCAGGGAGCACGTGGGAGGCAGGGGAGTGGGGTGGGGCCAGGCGGTCTGGAGCGGTGGGGGTGGCGTCATGCTCAGAGTGACTCTGTAGACACTGGGTGGGATGGGGGGGTGTGGGTGCAGGCATGGATGGGGCTGTTACTCTAGCATGATGCTTGAGGTCTGAGCTGATGGCGGCAAAGTGGGGTGCTCAGGAATCAAAGCTATGGGGTTATAGACAGAATATGAAGAAGGGAGGGAAGCAAGAAGAAGGGGGTGGTTCTCACGCTTCTAGCTCCGGCCGAGTGGATGGCAACAGCATTTAGAAGGCGGAGGACATGGAATTCATGTGTCAGGAGCCACCTTCCGAGCCTCCAGTACCACGTGTCAGGGCCACATGAGCTGGGCCTCGTGGGCCTGATGTGGTGCTGGGGCCTCAGGGGTCTGCTCTTCTCCTCTTTCAGAATCTGGGGCTCCAGGCTCTGCCTTGGCTGGACTGAGGTCTGGGGGTGCACTTATTATCCCTGGGGACACCTGCTGAAGCTTCTCCCTGACAAGCCAAGTGTCGCTGTTGGATGAGGATGGGGCGGGAGGGACTCAGGGCAGAAGAAGACCAGGAGGGTCTTTCAAAAGAACTCATGTACGGCTGTTAAAAAAAGTCAGCAGAAGCTCAGGAAGACTTAAAGTGTCTTTAAGACAGAAGGCGGGGAAAGGAGGGCCCATTGCATGCACCAAGAGAAACTGGAAGGAACAGGTGACTTTGGCTGCTGGGAGAGCCTTATCCCAACATCTAGGGGCTGTCCTGATGGGTCACAGTGGGTCGAACTGAGCCAATGGGAGAAGCTCTGGGGGTAGGTGGTACCCTGGAGAGTAGGTGGGTTTGGGTTGCATGAATTCTCTGTGTCCTTTTGGAAACGCAGAGACCAGGAGGGGGCATCAGGGCTCTTAGGGTCTTTGACCCTTAAGAGTTTTGCATCTGGAATTCAAAGGGTCTTTAGTTCCGGGATGCTGAGATTCGGGATAGGGTTCCTAATGGCACAAAAGCCAGGGATAAAATGTCTTTCACGTGCTCCCCACCCGGTTCTTTCTGAACCAGACCCACAAGGTCCGAGTTGCGATCCTAGTGCTCCTGTCTGGTCAGGGCCTATCTTTATGTGTTCGTTCAACTTTTAAAAATGAGAACAAATTCTGTCTCTTGACATTGTCATTTGCATGTGCCCCACACACAAATCCTTTCCTGGTGACACGAGGAGCTACAACTCTCCTCGGCCGCCTCCTGTGACTCCCAACTCCCTCCTTGGGAAGCTTGGCCTCAGGGCCTCTGGGACAGACAGGTCCTAATGTAAATGGTATGGATGACATTTGACCTAGAGCAGTGGGAAACGCATCCACCACTCAACATTCTGACATGTCACCCATTTTACATTCTTACGGGTATTTTTTTTAAAAAAAGAGTGTCTATTTTTTAATGAGCATCCCTTCTTTAAAAAAACCTAATTGCCATTATTCACCACATACACTTTTTTTTTTTTATCCTGCCCCTTCTGTTTAATATTCTGTCATCAACATTTTCCCTTGTTCCATTCATCTTCATAACCTCACTGGCTGCGTTGTGCCTTGTTGAGTGGCTATGGCGTCATTCACAGAACCTTTCGGTTATTCTTATGTATAACCACCTTTTAAAAATATTATGAATAATGCCACAACTAACTGCTTAGAACACCCTTTTTTTCATTCTTAAGAATTATGTTCTTCCACCCAGAAATTATCATTGCTTCATTACAGATCAGTTTCCCCTGCTAGACTGTGAGCCCCATATGGGCAAGGAGCTTATTGAATTGGCCTTTGTATCTCTGATGCCCAACATGTCATAGACTCTAAGTAAACGATGGAAGATTGGATGGAAGAATGGAGGAAGGAGCGAGTGAGTGAGTGTTTGGCTGATGGATAATTGGCTGATGGATAAGAGGGGGAAGGATGGGTGAATACATGGATTGGTGAATGAATGAATGAATGAATTTCCTTTGGTTAAGTCCCTTGAAGTAAAGGCTATGGATCTTTGTATGGATATTGATTAATTTCAGAAGGCTTACAGCATTTTACAATGTTCAGCTATGTATGACTATTTAATTAAGATTTGGCTAGTTTGTCTCTGTTCTAAAGTACTTTTGCATTACTCTAACTTGCATTGCCTTAATTACTAATGACGGGCGAACACTTTCACCTATGTTTGTTAACAAATTGTATTTTCTCTTCTGTGAACTGTTTGTCCAAGCCCCTTGGGTCATGGCTTTTGGAAGAGACTGGTCCCAGGTGTCCTTGGGATGTAGGGAGCCCTTACCTCACTGGAGGCATTCAGGGAACCAGCTAGGTAGCCCTCAGGGAAGATAGTGTTTAGGAGACTCCCATGGTGCGGGGTTGGCCTAGGTGGCCTTTCAGGTTCTTTACAGATCAGTTTTCCCTGCTAGACTGCGAGCCCCATGTGGGGCTTTGCTTATTAGGATTTGCTTATCCCTGGGAAGTGGGTGATGGGGACAAGGACACCTTCCATTGGCAGGTGGAGACACTGCAGGCTGGACCTCCTGGGGGTGCTCGTGAACTCCGATCTTGCCCTCCATAAAACCCCTGTGGGACAGGAATAGCTCTCTGAACCTCCAAGGTCCAGATGGCCACATCCTAGCACCCTGTACGATCAGTTGGTGGCCTTCCCACCAGCCCAGTCTTTGGGGTTTAACTGGTGAATGGAACATTTTTGGATCAGGACTGATGGGAGAATCCCCTTTTATTTTTCTTCACCTGGGGCAATTACATTCCAAGGAGCAGAATAAAGGGCATGTTCTGCCCAAAGCATCAGGGCTCACAGGTCAGTCACAGCCATTTGGGGAGGGCACATCACCCAAAGAGGGCTTGCCCTTCTTTCCAGAGCATCCTCCGCTCTCAGCAGAGCTGCTTCTGCCCACCCATCCCTCTACTATAGCACTGAGCACTGTTTGCCTGTGTCAGAATCGCTCACCCACATGTTTAGCTTTGTATCCAAGCTTGGGAGGCCGACGATGACTTTCAACATGAATTGCTCCATCTACCCATCCATGCACTCGGCCTGCTTATCTTGACCCCGTGCTTTTGGCTTTTTCTTCTCCTGAAAGCAAACCCTTTCATTTTGGGTGGGCTGTGTAGCACCATGGGCTGTGGTTATGAAGCAAACACCTTTTCTTATAGCTCCTCCTCCGGGTTACTGCTCTGAGCGCATCCCAGCTGGATCTCATCTGCCACTGTCACCCACGGCTTCTTCCCCACGGTGCTTTCCATGTGTCACACACCACGACTCTGACCCAGGGTCAGGGTCCCAGAGTAGCCCTGGGCCAAGCCCTCCACCCATGAGCGGAGAGGTCCTGCCCAGGCCTCGCCTTGCCTGGCGCGTGGTCCCTGCCATGAGCTTTGCGTTCAGCTTTTCAGCTTCCTCCACCAGACGGCAGTGGTTGTAACTCATCCATTCATTCCTTCATTCCTTCCTTCCTTCACTCACAGCCAATAAACATTAGAAAAAAATTAGCCAGTGCTATACTAGAGCTGGCTCCCAAGGACCCACTGCCACATTGCCTTTTGAAAGGAAACAATGAACATTTTGGTAAAGGGGCCGTGCTTGTGTGTCGGTGACAAGGTGAGATCCCTGAGTCAGCTCAGGCTCGTAGATTCGAGTTCTGTTGCAAGTTTCACTGCCCCTCTGACTTTGTCCCCTGTACAAGTAGGTTGATTAGGAATCAGCCAACTGTGTTCCCTGGGTGCTCAGAAATCACAGCCCATATCCTCGAGAAGCCAAAATGAGAGCCAGGGGTTCCGAGATGAGTGGCTGCTTCTGGCTGTGAGCAGGCTTTCAAGTCATTAGAACACTCTGGCCTTTCCTGGAGGTGATCTTGGAGCCATTCCTGCCCCTTTCAAGAGGAGTTAATGCCCAGCTCTATTTAGAGAAAATTGGGGGAGATGATTGCTCATGTGGGTGATAAGAATCACCTCCCGTGCAGGGTTCTGCGTGGAACACTCCATTGGCAACCCTGGGTGTCCAAGGCACGTGGCATTTTGCAAACTAAGGGCACAGCTCCAAGCTGTCCTGCAGGTCCCAGACCAGGTGAGAACTCCCTGAGTTCCTGCTGCATGGGTAGGGGGTGAGGCATCGGTCTTGGGGCTTCCACCTGGAATTCTGAATGTTATTCATTGCATTGGAGAGGAAGGAGAGTAGGCAAAGCCAAGACCCGGGAGCTGGACAAACCTGTGTGGTTTAAAGTCACTGTGAGAGCTGGAGTTGAGCCTGCCCTCCGGGGAGGACTGCGGCACCTACCTCGCAGGGCTGTTGTGAGGAGCAATGTAACCGTCATTTTGAACTGTGATTCTGGAAGGGCGGTGTGCGTGTCCCCGGGGGTGTGCCAAGGGAGTGAGGATAAAAGGCCAGGGAGACAGCCTGTCTCAGGTGGCTGAGTGGGAAAGTGTTTCTCTCTAAACATGGAGGGGTGTATGGTGGGACAGGAGGAATTTTGGCAGGAACTTTCATGCTAGGGGTTTGGGGGACTCTTTGGGCAATGCCCCTGGACCCCCCGGGGGTACGGTTCACGCTCACCTCTGAGAGGCTGGAAGCTCCTGACTGTGCTTTCTGAATGCTGTGTGCTTCCTGCCTCTGTGCCTGGCCTGTGGGCAGCACCTACTTCAAAAGGCCCCTCTGGGTAGTGTCCTTTTCCCCAAAATATTAGGCACCAGCCATCAAAGACACTGCATTGTCCCCTCCTCCACCCCTCCCATAACTGACAACTTTTGGGCTCAAGTGCCGGCAGGCTGGGTGCCCAACACAGTGCCTGGCGAGTGGTAGCGCTTGCCTTTCTTTTCTGTTGAATGAATGGATAGCTAATGAAATTGTAACCAATGACAAGCCTTGATGTTTATAACCTTTACTAAGAGATTATTATTTTGCTCTTCATGAACCTGTTAACAACTGCCATATTGTATCTTACGGACGTTTGTATGCCATGTTTGAAGAGCAGGAGCCTTGTTTCGGCATCATGTGATGGAATCTGAGCTGTCTGATGAGAATCTGTGTTTTGTGTTAGAAAGAGCCTGGGCCTTAGGATCTGGCAGACCCAGGGGCCACTTAATTAACCTTTTGCCTCTTTGACCCTTGATCTCCTTTTCTCTAAGCCATAGGTCACCAGAAAGCCTACCTCACAGGGCTGTTGTGAGGGCCGAGGGTGGGTGTGCTGTAACCGTGCTGTGCAGATGCTGGCTTTCCCTGGGAATGGGCATATGGTGGGGTTTGTCTTGAAAGCATGAGTGATGGCTTTACTAGTCCTAAGTGAATAAAAAGTTAGCCCTGACCTTACGCTGGGATTGCATTTCCCACAGTCAGTGGCATGTGCAAACCAGTGGTGGAGCAGCCTGCAGGTGCTTAGCTATGTGGGCCCAGAGTAAATATTTGTTTGATTGATAAGTGATGGCTTTTTCCTTCCTCAGAGGTTACCCCGCCCCCCCGTTCCACCATGGGCTGCTGCGTCTCCCCAGCAGGTTGTAGCTGGCAGGGCCATTGTGCTTTGGGGTTTGCTGTACCTGTCGGTGCCATGAGGGGGGGCGGTCTGTCTGCTTGGAGGGGCTTCTGCAAACATTCATGTATGCCCCTGGTTTCGTTTGTTAGGGAGGAGGAGTGGGGGTGACCTAGGGAGAGGATGAGGAAGGGGTTCTGGGTGGCATCCTTGGGGTACTAACCCTCCCTTCACCCTGTGCTCTGAATTTCCACACGGCCCTTTTCTTTCCCTGGTAGAAGGTACTGAAGGTAGGCTTTGCCACCTTCTCTGGGTCTGGCACCAAGCTTGGGGGTCTTGTACACTTTCCCTTCTCTAACTGGGATGTGGGCCCATTTCCTAGATGAGCTTGCTGAGACTCAGGACAGCTGGTATCAGAGCCGGGACTTCCCAGTCTTGCACAAACAACCTGTGCTTTTTTGAGTCCACCAAATAAGGCCTCCTACCTGGTCCGGTTCATCCCTGCCAGCCCCCAGCAACTGCAGCCTGGGCGTCCCCACTCCTGCCGAGTGCCTAGGAGTGCTCTGGAAGAGGAGTGCAGGGATGAAGAAGGAGGCTGTGCCCTCCAGGGGACTCAGCTGCATTAGAGAAGGTGCTGCTGCGCTGGCGGGGGTCTCCGGACATCCCAGGCAGGGGTCGTTTCTGATCAGGGATCTCTTCACCAGACCACCATATTCCTTTTCCAGCCCTCATCTCTTGCATGTGGGGGTGCAGTATTTGGCTCTCACATCCCCACATTCCAGCTGGTGGGGGTTTGAGCTGGATGTTCCTTCTGCTCCCCACTCCCCACTCCTGGTCCCCACCCCATGCAAGGCTCCCTTGCCCCCACTCTTTGTCTCCAGCTTTCCCAGCCTCGGTGGGCAGGCACCTGGGCCCCTTGCCGCCCCAGGCCTCATCCACCCGCCTCTTCTTTCTCAGCCTGAGCTTTACTGTGAGGTCTAGGAGTCACACCTTGGTCCCTGCCATGCCTGCCCCCAGGAGCACCCACATGGGTCCCCTGATTCTCCCCTCCCCTGGGCTTTGCTGGGGAGCCCTTGCAGTGTGGCCTTGGGGTCTGCCCCATGCCCATCCCCTGTTCTTGAGAACCTGGAAGCAGAGGGAGCCCCTCCTATTGCTCCCAAGGGGCTCCACAGTAGGAGATTCTGAGTCTGTGTTTAGGTATCTATTCCTGGATGGGGCTTGGGGTCCCCTCAGGCCAGGCCTGTGTGTGACCTAAGGCTGGGGGGGCTCTATTAGGCACCTAGTGTCCCTTGGAGTTGGGCGGGGCTGGGTCCTGGACTCCTGAGGGCGGGTGGGGAGACAGGCTCAGGGAGATTTCCATGAAGCTGCCCTTGAAGCCCTGCTCTGAGGCCTGCACTGCCCTGACCCTTTACACCCTGCCTCCTGCACTAGTAGGCACCTAACAGATGCTCGCCACCTGTGGAGGGCGGGGTTTAAATGGCTGGAAAGAGCTGAGTGGGCCGGCTGGCTAGTGTACGTGCATTTGTTTAAGAGGAAAGGGTGTGTTTCTTGGCAAAGACTCTTCGGAGGAAACTCTGAACTGGGGAAGGGTCTCTACCTGTTCTGGAGCCTCACTGCCCTTCCTGCCAGTCTGGGGACAAACTCACTGGTGGGTTTCCCCCAGTGGAAACACAGTATTTTGGAAATATTTAGATCTAGGATAAAACTTCATCTGGACCAACATGTGTGTGTTGGTGGTGTGGCCCAGGTGATTTTGAGACTGTAGAATACATTTGGCAATTTCCAAATGGAGGGATGACTTGCTCCTCCGCCCCCCATGCCCGCCCTGAGGCTGGAGGCCTCAGAAGCCCCTGCCTTGGGAGGAGCCTGTTCCACCTGAGAAGGCTTTGTCCCCACCATTGGTGATAATCAGTGTTGACCTGTGAGGCACCTGCCAGGTTTGGGATGCAGCCTTAGATATTCAGAAAACTGGGGGTTGAGGAGTGTGGGGATCAGACCCCAGAGCTTGAGTCCTTTTGTCTGTCTCACCCCGAAGAATGGTGCATGGGTACCAGGTAGGTTACTTGAACCACCCTGAGCCTCGATTTTCCCACCTGTTAGAAATGGGGTAATTCATGACAGTGTCTGCTCGGGAGATGGCTGTGACCCCGAGAATCCTGGCTGCATGCCTTAGACTGGCTCGTGAGACTCAAGGTCTGGGTTGAAGGTCCCCCCATCCCCTTCTGACAGTTTGCTGTTTTTAACCTGGAAAGCATCACACTTGCCTGGCACGGTTATTGTGGGATTCAATGAGATTGTTTGTGTGAAATAAATGCTTTGTGACCTGGCACACAGGCGCTCTCACCCCGGCTCTCCTGGTGGGCCTGGACCGCTGGGTACTGGCTGCAGAGGCCCTGTGCTCCCTGGAACTGTCTGCGCTGGTCCCGGGGACTCTTGGGCAGAGTGGAGGGCAAGGGGGGAAGCACCAGCCCACTCTGGGGAGACAGTGGCAGAGGGAAGGGTTTGCTTTTAAATACAGAGACTCAGCAGGTTCAGGTGGGAGATGATCAGAGGGGAAATGTTTATAACCCTCAGGAGGAGGAAGAGTCCGAGTTTTAAGAAAAACACCATAGGTTGGGCAGAAGAGCTGGGGATGGCATTTAGAAAGGATGAGAGTCCTGGGTTCTGGGTTATCAAGGTGAGAGAAATCAGGGGTTGTCAGTTGTAGGTGGACGTCAGGACTAGAGTGATGCTTCCAGAAGTTTCTACAAGTGGGCAGAGTCCAAGGTACGGCAGGGTACACCAGAAGTTGAGGGGCACTAGGTAGACAGGCCGAGCTGGTGGCTGGGTGCTCCCCTCACCCTCCATGCTGCTAGGAGCCCCTGAGCACGGACTCGCTCTCCTCTCCTCCCTCCTGGGGCCTGCCTGTCTGTCTGTGAACTCTTGTCGGCCAGCGAGGCCGGGAGCAGGTGGCCTTCATCTGCAACTGTGTCTCTCTCAGCCTCCACAGCCACGGGGACGCCCTGCACCTATTCCCACGGGACAGGCTGGACCCAGAGACTCTGGACCCGGGGCCTCCCCTTGAGTAGAGACCCGCCCTCTGACTGATGGACGCCGCTGACCTGTGGTCAGACCCGCGGGCTGGACCCCTGCCCACCCCACAGGAACCCCGAGGCCTAGGGGAGCTGTTGAGCCTTCGGTGTCTGCATGTGGAAAGTGGGCTTGTTCACCTACCTCACAGGGCTGTTGTGAGGGGCGCTGTGATACGGTTCCAAAGCACGGGCTTGGCGCACCCCACTGTGCTCTCAATAAATGTGTTTCCTGTCTTAACAAAAACAGTGATGGGTGTGCTACTAATATAAGGAGGGGTGAGTGTTGGGCGTCCTGTCTCTCTGGGCAGTGTGATGGGTGGGAGGGTGGGGAACCAGCTTGAACCCCACACAGCTGCCAGCACCCGACCCTGCCCACTGGGCTCTCAAAGGGGAGAGTGGCTCTTGGAGGTCCGGAGGTTGACACGTGCTTGGATGAACTAACATCTGTCTGGTCGCCTCCTTCTCCTGATCGTGGGATGCCAGGCTTCTTTCCAGAAGGGACTGGACAGGAGGAGGTGGGACAAGTCTGGTTTTGGTGGTGGAGAGGGGTTCTGAGTTGAGCTCACTGTGTGAGTCCCTGGAGCCCCAGAGAGGAAGCTCCCCTGGGGCTTCGAGTCTTCCTCCTCCTCTTCTCACATTCCCCAGGGCTGGGCTGAGTGGTCATCATACTTGACCTGATGTTGAGCGATGGCCAAGGTGGCCCAGCCAGGCTGGGGCTAAACTCATTCCTCAAAATGGCTCCTGAGCAGGGCTCTGTGTATAGGCTCCTAAGCAGGGCTGCAGAGGTAGAGCCTCAGACCCATCCCTGCCCGCGGCAGGAGTGCTGGCTGAGCCGGGGAGGTGAGCCTTCCTCCCTGCAGAGTGCTTTCTGTGAGCAGCTTGTGGCTGGGCTGAGTGGAGGCACTGAGGGCAAGGGACTGAAGGGTGCTAGACCTGAGTCAAGATGGATCCTGAGTCTGCACACCTGGCTTTGCTGCAGCAGATGATAAGGACATGCTCCCTATGGGGAAGGAGAGACCGACCGCTTTTGCTGCCACAGCCACCATGGCCATCACAGCTACCACGGCCACCACGGCCACCACCACTACCACCACCATCACAGCCATGGCCGCCACCGCCACTGCCACCTCCTCCTCCTTCTCCTTCCTCTCCTCCTCCTTCTCTTCTTCTTCCTCCTCTTCCTCCCTCTTTTCCTTCCTTCTCCTCCTCCCTCCTCTTCTTCCTCCTCCTCTTCCACTTTCTCTTCTTCTTCCTCCTCCTCCTTTCTCCTCCTCCCTCTTCTTTTTTCTCCTTCCTCCTTCTCCCTCCTACTCTTTCTCCCTCTTCCCCTTCCTTTCCTGCCTTCTTCTCCTCTTTCTTTTCCTCGTTCCTTTTTCCTTTCCTTCTCCCTCCTCCTCTTTTCCGTCTTCTTCCTTTTTCTCCTCCTCCTTCCTTCCCTTCATTTGTTTCTCCCTCTTCCCCCTCCTCCTCTCTCTTTTTCTTCTCCTTCTTCCTCCTCCTTCTCCTCCTGCTTTTCCTCCTCCTCTCCCTCACAGGGCGGTATCTCTCAAGAGAACTGCAGGCAAGTCCAGCCGTAAGTGAACAGGACTGAGCATGGCCCCTTTGCTGAGAGAAACAACTGCCTTGAGGATCATGGCCATGACTTCACAAAGGAGACCTGACCCAGCCCCTGATGGAGATGGTGACATGGATGGCACTGAGTGATGACCCAGGCAGCAGTGAGAAGAGGAGGAGATGGCCTTCAGAGTGCACCCCACCTAGATGAGCCAATCTGTGCTCAGCCAAGACCAGGCTGAGAGTCCAGGAGAGTTCTGTGTGGTGAGCAGAGTGTCAGCCTTTGATGAAACTCAGGTGTCCACAGCAAGCCACCCACTGGTGTTCCAGAGCCAAGATCCCAGCTTCAGCCTCTGTTGAACCTTGGGCATTCAGAATGAGCTGCCCGACTTTTGATGTCCCAGAGCTAAGACTCAGTTCCAGCCTCTGATGATGAAGCTCAGATGTCCAGAAAGAGGGACCTCCGTGATGTTCTAGAGCCAGGACTCCAGATCCAGCATCTGATGATGCTCAGATGTCTAGAAAGAGGAACCTCCTTGATGTTCTAGAGCCAAGACTAAAGATCCAGCATCTGATGCTCAGATATCCAGAGGACCTACTTGATGTTCTAGAGCTGGGACTCCAGATCCAGTGTCTGATGCTCAGATATCAGAAAGAGGACCCCTTGATGTTCAGAGCCAGGACTTCAGATCCAGCATCTGACGATGCTCAGGTGTCCAGAAAGAGGGACCTCCGTGATGTTCTACAGTGGGATTCCAGATCCAGCATCGATGATGCTCAGATGTCTAGAAAGAGGAACCTCCTTGATGTTCTAGAGCCAAGACTAAAGATCCAGCGTCTGATGCTCAGATATCCAGAAGAGGACCTCCTTGATGTTCTAGAGCCAGGACTCCAGATCAGTGTCTGATGTAGGCGTCCAGAAAGAGGACTTCTTTGATGTTCAAGAGCCAGGACTTCAGATCAGCATCCGATGATGCTCAGGTGTCAGAAAGAGGACCTCTGTGATGTTCCTAGAGCCGGGACTCCAGATCCAGCATCCTGATGATGTTCAGATGTCTAGAAAGAGGAACCTCCTTGATATTCTAGAGCCAAGACTAAAGATCCAGCGTCTGATGCTCAGATATCCAGAAAGAGGGACCTCCTTGATGTTCTAGAGTGGGGACTCCAGATCCAGCGTCTGATGTTCAGATATCCAGAAAGAGGGACCCTCTTGATGTTCAGAGCAGGGACTCCAGATCCAGCATCTGATGATGCTCAGATGTCTAGAAAGAGGAACCTCCTTGATGTTCTAGAGCCAAGACTAAAGATCCAGCATCTGATGTAAGATATCCAGAAAGAGGGACTCCTTGATGTTCTAGAGCCAGGACTCCAGATCCAGCATCCAATGATGCTCAGATGTCAGAAAAGAGGGACTTCTTGATGTTCTGGAAAGCGAGGACTCAGTTCCAGCCTCCAGTGAAGCTCAGAGGTCCAGAAGAGGACCTCCTTGATGTTCTATAGAGCCAGGACTCCAGGTCCAGCCTCAGTGAAGCTCAGATGTCCAGAAAGAGAGGACCTCATGATGTTCCTGACCAGGACTCAGGCCAGCCTCAGTGAAGCTCAGATGTCCAGAAAGAGGGACCTCCTTGATCTTCTAGAGCCAGGACTCCAGTTCAACCTCAGCAAAAACTCAGAGGTCCAGAAAGAGGGATCTCCTTGATCTTCTAGAGCCAGGACTCCAGGTCCAGCCTCCAGTGAAGCTAAGATGTCCAGAAAGAGTTACGACCTTGATGTTTTAGAGCCAGGACTCCAGCTCCAGCCTCCGATAAAGCTCGGATGTTTAGAATATGGGGTCCTCCTTGATGTTCTAGAGCGAGACCCAGCTATAGTGCTTAATGAAGCTCAGAGTGTCAGAAAGAAGTGCCTCTTTGATGTTCCAAAACCAGGATTCCAAGTCTATCATTTGATAAAGATCAAGTGTACAGGAAGAGAGACCTCCTTGATGTTCCAAAGCCAGGACTTCAACTCAAACTTTTGAAGAAGGGCAGATGTCCAGAAAGAGGGACCTCTTTGATGTTCTAGGGCTGGGACCCAGCTCCAACATCTGACAAAGCTGAGATTTCCAGAAGTAGGAACTCCTTGATGTTCCAGAGCTGAGGACCTCATGATGTTCCAAGCTAGGACTTTACAACTCTAGCCGTTGAAGCTCAGATGTGCAGAAAGAGACCTCCTTGATGTTCTAGGGCTGGAATCAGCTCCAACCTCTGACAAAGCTCAGATGTCCAAAAGAAGAAGTCTCATGATGTTCTAGAGCCTGGACTCTAGCCCTAGCCTCTAATGAAACTCAGATATCCAGAAAGAAGGACTTTCTTGACATTCTAGAGCCAGAACTCCATCTCAGCCTCTGTTGAAGCTCAGATGTTCAGAAGGGGACTTCCTTCTGTTCCAGAGCCATGACCCGCCAACCTCTGACAAAGCTTAGATGTCCAGAAGAGGACCCCCTTGATGTTCTAGAGCTGGAACCCAGATCCAGCCTCTGAGGAAACTCAGGTGTCCAGAACTGGTGAGAAAGCCCCTCCCAAGGCTGTGGGCTTCCCAGGGCAGGGATAGGTGTGACCAAGTTTGAATTGAGACTGGAGAGACGGAGTGCTTACTCTTCTGTGCAAGGTGGCCTACAGCTCTCAATAGTGACACTAGCATAAAAACGGGTCCCGGTTGCAGAAGGAGAGATGTGGAGGGGACTCCCTGTGGGGAGGAAGAGTATTAGGAAGAACATGGCAGCGAAGAAATCATGGATTGCAGATGGGGTGCCTTTGATGAAGCCTGCCTGAGGGCATGTAACACTGCAGCAAAGCACCGTTTGTCTGCTTTTAGTTGTGCTGGACTCATGGCTGGCCACACCAACCTTGACCCACAGGGCTGCCAAATTGGCTGGACCCTGGAATGTAACCCAAGCTAGTTTCTGCGGCTTAGCTCCTCTCCCAGTG